GAATGGTCCAGGACGGACCGAAACGTCGTCGTCGTCGTCCCTTCAATTTCTAGTGTGTGTGTCATCAGTATGTATTATGGTCTTCATCGTTACTATAAGTACTCCCCAAACAGGCGGCTGGGCTGGTACTCACCTAATTGTACTCACCTAATTGTGCTTGCGGGGGTTGAGCTTTGGCTCTTTGGTACCGCCTCTCAACTGTCAATCAACTGGTGTACAGATTCCTGAAGGTGAGTACGGTGAGTACGGTGTGTTGAGTACTACCTCGGTGGCAACCTTTGACGGTTTATAAATATGAAGAGAATATTCGTACAGGTGTGAGTTTTTTTTTTTTACTTGTTAAAATTACATCGGTTATTGCTGTTAGTTGGTTCGTTGGACGCTGCTGCTCGCGTCCAACAGTCTTGTTGATCAGTCCATCAATCAGGAGACCTGGACAGAGACCGGGCCGCGGGGAACTTGAACCCCCGGAATCTCCGCAAGGTGACCACTTGGTATGGTAATTTAATATATTCTTTACTGCCCTGTCTCTTCTCTCTCTCTCTCTCTCTCTCTCTCTCTCTCTCTCTCTCTCTCTCTCTCTCTCTCTCTCTCTCTCTCTCTCTCTCTCTCTCTCTCTCTCTCTCTCCCTCGCCTCTTGCTTCAAACCTTTCACGACACTTGCAGTTCCCCCTCTACTTGGGCATATCTTCTCTTATATCATGACTAATATGCTCAGGGATTCAGCTTGTGACTATATATATATATATATATATATATATATATATATATATATATATATATATATATATATATTATATATATATATATATATATATATATATTATCATCGTTAACAAGCGACAAGAACTAATTTGTAAACAAGTATGTCTTTGTACATGAGATGAACGGTGTTCTAGTTGGTAATGTGTTGAGAATCACTTTAATTTAAGGCAGTGTTCTAAAATGAGTGTATTACCTTTGCTGCTGCTGCTGCTGCTGCTGCTGTTGCTGCTGCTAACTCTGCTACTACTAGTATTACTGCTAGTGTTGCCCCCCCCCCCACCTCCTTCACTTCCCTCTCCACCACCACCACCACTACCACCACCACCACCATTCTCTCCACCACCACCAGAAATAAACCCTTCACCACCGCCTTGGAGTCAAGACAAACACACTACCACTATATACATCTTTCCTCCACTCACTTCTCTTCTCTCTCTAGACTGTCCCTTTCAACGACTACGCTCTACAATCCCAGAAAAGTTTTTACCCTTTTACATCATCGCTTCTCCTTAAAAACCCTAATTCCGAACTCTTCTGTCTTCTAGCGACGTGGAAGATAGAAGAACTCGGGGGGTACATGATCACCACATGCAAGATTATCAAAGGAATTGATAAGGTAGACAAAGACAGCCTATTTAACACAAGGGACACTCGCACTAGGGGACACAGGTGGATATTGAGTGCCCAAATGAGCCATAGAGACATTATAAATCATTTTTTGACTGTCAGAGTAGTTGAGAGATGGAATGCACTAGGAAGTAGTGTGGAGGAAACAGACTCCATACACAGTTTCTACTGTAGATATGATAGAGCCCAATAGGCTTAGGAACCAGTACATCAGTTGATTGAAAGTCGAGAGGCGGGACCAAAGAGCCAAAAGCTCAACCCCGCTAGCACAACTAGGTGAGTACACGCATATACACACACACACACACATGTGTGTGTGTGTGTGTGCTCTCAGTTGTGCTTGCGGAGAGCTGACATTCGGCTCTTTGGTTCCGCCTCTCAATCGTCAAACAACTGATGTACAGGTTCCTGAGCCTATTGTGTGTGTTGTGGGTAAGACGTACGGACAATGGCTCATCTTCCTGCTCAATATATCATACTGTACGTAAAGGTAAAAACTTATAGGTTTACCGGAATACATTTAGGCGTGAAGGATCAGTCTACGTCCCACGGTAGACCCACTTTTGCCAGCACTTTATATCCTACAGATCCTATGATCTTCTCAAGTCAGGAATTGCTTTATGAGAGCAATAGGTAATTAATTCTGAGAGTATAGGAAAGCTTCTTGTGCAAAATTAAGATTATTATTATTAAATTATGATTATCATTATTCAATATTAAAATATAAAACTAGGCTACGAATTATTATTCAATACTAAAATACAATGATAGGATATAATGGATTTTCAAATATCATTTCTGTGAAGATGGTGAACCATAAGTGTACATATTATCAGGTCTTCCATGCTAAAGGATTATGGGCCATTTAGTGAGATCTAAAGCTCCGCGCTGCTGCGTCCCGGCTCATATCTGGATTAGAAACTACATATATATATAAGAAAGGAAGGGAACTCACAGGGGAATTAAGCGCCAAGCCATTACGACTATATAGCACTTGGAAGGGGTCACGTTAAGGATTTGGGATCGGATGGGGGGAAAGGAATGGTTCCCAACCACTTGGACGATCGGGGAATTGAACGCCAACCTCCATGAAGCGAGACCGTCGCTCTACCGTCCAACCCAAGTGGTTATCTTGAGGTTATCTTGAGATGATTTCGGGGCTTTAGTGTCCCCGCGGCCCGGTCCTAGACCAGGCCTCCACCCCCAGGAAGCAGCCCGTGACAGCTGACTTAACTCCCAGGTACCTATTTACTGCTAGGTAACAGGGGCATTCAGGGTGAAAGAAACTTTGCCCATTTGTTTCTGCCTCGTGCGGGAATCGAACCCGCGCCACAGAATTACGAGTCCTGCGCGCTATCCACCAGGCTATGAGGCCCCTATAGACATCCCCCCCTTTGGTTGGACAAAGACGAAACTCTTTAGATATATTTGGCTTCCTTGAGCAGTGTTAGTGGAAATATTTAGCAGCAAAGCATTTTGCTGATATTCAGGTTTATAGAGGATCATGCTAAGTGTTTATCAAATAGATCACACACTATTGAGATCAGGAGTTGACAGAACACGAAACAATGGGTATAAATTGGATAAGTTTAGATTTAGGAAAGACTTGGGTAAATACTCGTTCGGTAACAGGGTTGTTGATTTGTGGAACCAAGTATCGCGTAACATGGTGGAGGTGGGGTCCCTCGATTATTTCAAACGTGGGTTGGACATGTATATGAGTGGAATTGGGTGGTTATAAATAGGAGCTGCCTCGTATGGGCCAATAGGCCTCCTGCAGTTACCTTTGTTCTTATGTTCTAATGTTTACCAAACGGATAACACACTGTTAAGATCACAAGTATAGTGTTCATCAAATTGGTTAACTCTCTACCTTAATACACGTTTAGTGAGACTATATATTCACTACTCTCAAGGAAACCCCCATGTTTACGCCATCCCATCCTCATGGACATGCATTAAAACCAATTTCAATTTATTGGAAATAATATGAGCTCGTGGTTGTCGACCAGACCACACACTAGAAGGTGACGGGACGACGACGTTTCGGTCCGTCGTCCCTTCACCTTCTAGTGTGTGGTCTGGTCAACATACTTTAGCCACGTTATTGTGACTCTTTGCTTGCTCGTGGATGTCCCTCGTGACGGGAGATCATGCAGAAATGTAAGGATTACGTGGCTTGCTTTGGGAGCAGGTGATGGTGCATGGTGAGGCAGCGCGCTTACAGTGGTGGGTGGGGGTCGTGGGGTCACTTACAGTGATGGGTGGGGTCGTGGGGTCACTTACAGTGATGGGTGGGGTCGTGGGGTCACTTACAGTGATGGGTGGGGTCGTGGGGTCACTTACAGTGATGGGTGGGGTCGTGGGGTCACTTACAGTGATGGGTGGGGTCACTTACAGTGATGGGTGGGGGTCATGGGGTCACTTACAGTGATGGGTGGGGTCGTGGGGTCAATTACAGTGATGGGTGGGGTCGTGGGGTCACTTACAGTGATGGGTGGGGTCGTGGGGTCACTTAGTGATGGGTGGGGTCGTGGGGTCACTTACAGTGATGGGTGGGGTCGTGGGGGTCACTTACAGTGATCGGTGGGGTCACTTACAGTGATGGGTGGGGGTCATGGGGTCACTTACAGTGGTGGGTGGGGTCGTGGGGGTCATTTACAGTGATGGGTGGGGGTCATGGGGTCACTTACAGTGATGGGTGGGGGTCATGGGGTCACTTACAGTGATGGGTGGGGTCGTGGGGAGCACTTACAGTGATGGGTGGGGGTCGTGGGGTCACTACAGTGATGGGTGGGGTCGTGGGGAGCACTTACAGTGATGGGTGGGGTCGTGGGGGTCACTTACAGTGATGGGTGGGGTCGTGGGGTCACTTACAGTGATGGGTGGGGGTCATGGGGTCACTTACAGTGGTGGGTGGGGTCGTGGGGTCACTTACAGTGATGGGTGGGGTCGTGGGGTCACTTAGTGATGGGTGGGGTCGTGGGGAGCACTTACAGTGATGGGTGGGGTCATGGGGTCACTTACAGTGATGGGTGGGGTCGTGGGGTCACTTACAGTGATGGGTGGGGTCGTGGGGAGCACTTACAGTGATGGGTGGGGGTCATGGGGTCACTTACAGTGATGGGTGGGGTCGTGGGGAGCACTTACAGTGATGGGTGGGGGTCATGGGGTCACTTACAGTGATGGGTGGGGTCGTGGGGAGCACTTACAGTGATGGGTGGGGTCATGGGATCACTTACAGTGATGGGTGGGGTCGTGGGGTCACTTACAGTGATGGGTGGGGTCATGGGGTCACTTACAGTGATGGGTGGGGTCATGGGGTCACTTACAGTGATGGGTGGGGTCGTGGGGTCACTTACAGTGATGGGTGGGGGTCATGGGGTCACTTACAATGATGGGTGGGGTCATGGGGTCACTTACAGTGGTGGGTGGGGTCGTGGGGGTCACTTACAGTGATGGGTGGGGTCGTGGGGGTCACTTACAGTGATGGGTGGGGGTCATGGGGTCACTTACAGTGATGGGTGGGGTCGTGGGGTCACTTACAGTGATGGGTGGGGGTCATGGGGTCACTTACAGTGATGGGTGGGGGTCATGGGGTCACTTACAGTGATGGGTGGGGTCGTGGGGGTCCTCCCTGCGCCAGGTAACTGTAGGGGGCGGGTACCCCCTGGCTCGACACTCCAGTGAGACGTTAGTACCCTCCCGCACCACCAGGTCACCCGTCCAGGCGGTGTCCTCGATGTCCGGAGGCACTAGAGAGAGGAGGGAGGAAGAGGCGGCCACATCAGAGCATGTCAACACACTATGAAAATATCCACATTTATGTCGACATTTATACAAAACAATTTGCACCGGTTCATCAGCCCAATCAACCACTGAGATAGTACTGATGCACTACAGTGGGATCGAACTTGTGGTACCCGTGAGGATCCTCTGAAACAACCATTTACAAATGTCCAGCCCATCCCCCTAAAAATCTTATTGGTACTTTCGAGCAGATTGCTTACTATATGTAGGGAAAAATCATCTAGAAGTTAACTAGTGAATATTATTGAATTAATATTATTGAAAAATATTATTGAATTTGGACAAATGAGACGCCTTCATAACGGCAACCATAAATATAAGATCTAACCTAACCACTCCTAGCAACCCTAGGCCTAATACAGGCTGTCTTGGGTGTAATATAGCTCATATATGTGCTATACTAGACCTAGGAATATTTATGCTAGCTTTTGGCATTATTTTGTTTACGACTTCTATCACATTAAAAGTACAACACTTAACAAATTTACAAGGGCCGTGACGAGGATTCGAACTTGCGTCCGGGAACATCCCAGACACTGCCTTAATCGACTGAGCTACGACAGGGTTAAAAGAGTTGAAACCGAAGTTCTACTGAACTTACTGAATCAGTGTCTGGGATGCTCCGGATGCAGGTTCGAATCCTCGTCACGGCCCTTGTGGATTTGTTCATTTGATGCATCACGTTAGTGTGATTTCTGTGTGTTACAACTGTTAACTACTGGTAGTCCATCAATATATATGGGTACTCTGGATGACATAGTTACTATAATTACTGCCCCTTCAGGAGGATGGGCTGAAAATTGAACTCTTAGATAAAGGTAAGGGAACTATAAGGAGAATATAATTACGACGATATAATACCTGGAAGGGGTCAGGATAAGGACTTGGGATGGGACGGGGGGGGGGGGAGGGGATGGGACGGGGGGTGGGGGATGGAATGGAAGAAGAACACTTTAACATGATTAGGTCAATTAATGCAAGAATATTTACATTAGCCGCCTTGAGCAGTGTGACCACACAACAATCAGCAGCATTCTAACCACACGAGGCATTATTTATGTCACAATAAGGAATATCAAAATAAGGATATTTGTTTATACTAGAACATCATTAATGATATGCCGGTTCTTTCCAGAGAATTGTATTTGTAAGTAGTTTATTATACACACACACACACACACACACACACACACACACACACACACACACACACACACACACACACACACACACACACACACACACACACACACATGCCTACAACAAGTATCCAACAACGCACATTACTTAAACAGGTGAATGTATTTGAAAGAATAATAATTCCCGTTGCCAGGGTTAGGAAGCGTGTAATCGATTAATCAAGACCTTCCTAGGCCACCTACTGACCTTTTTTGTTAAGCAGGCAACCCACAACTTTTGCCTAACTCTAGGGGTACCTATTTTATTATTAGGTGAACAGGGACATGCATCATTCAGGTGCCCACCGTGTCTATCCTGCCCGGGATTGATCCCAGGTTGTGAGCTAAGAACGCAGACCACTATGCTACAGGGCCCGCTTCTTCAACCACCTGGAGGACACTCTACTATCCACCACCTGGAGGACACTCTACTATCCCCCACCTGGAGGACACTCTACTATCCCCCACCTGGAGGACACTCTACTATCCCCCACCTGGAGGACACTCTACTATCCCCCCCTGGAGGACACTCTACTATCCCCCACCTGGAGGACACTCTACTATCCCCACCTGGAGGACACTCTACTATCCCCCACCTGGAGGACACTCTACTATCCCCCACCTGGAGGACACTCTACTATCCCCCACCTGGAGGACACTCTACTATCCCCCACCTGGAGGACACTGGAGGACACTCTACTATCCCCCACCTGGAGGACACTCTACTATCCCCCACCTGGAGGACACTCTACTATCCCCCACCTGGAGGACACTCTACTATCCCCCACCTGGAGGACACTCTACTATCCCCCACCTGGAGGACACTCTACTATCCCCCACCTGGAGGACACTCTACTATCCCCCACCTGGAGGACACTCTACTATCCTATCCCACCTGGAGGACACTCTACTATCCCCCACCTGGAGGACACTCTACTATCCCCCACCTGGAGGACACTCTACTATCCCCCACCTGGAGGACACTCTACTATCCCCCACCTGGAGGACACTCTACTATCCCCCACCTGGAGGACACTCTACTATCCCCCACCTGGAGGACACTCAACTATCCCCCACCTGGAGGACACTCTACTATCCCCCACCTGGAGGACACTCAACTATCCCCCACCTGGAGGACACTCTACTATCCCCCACCTGGAGGACACTCTACTATCCCCCACCTGGAGGACACTCTACTATCCCCCACCACTCTGGAGGACACTCTACTATCCCCCACCTGGAGGACACTCTACTATCCCCCACCTGGAGGACACTCTATCCCCCACCTGGAGGACACTCTACTATCCCCACCCTGGACCTGGAGGACACTCACCCACCACCTGGAGGACACTCACCCACCACCTGGAGGACACTCACCCACCACCTGGAGGACACTCACCCACCACCTGGAGGACACTCACCCACCACCTGGAGGACACTCACCCACCACCTGGAGGACACTCACCCACCACCTGGAGGACACTCACCCACCACCTGGAGGACACTCTACTATCCCCCACCTGGAGGACACTCTACTATCCCCCACCTGGAGGACACTCTACTATCCCCCACCTGGAGGACACTCTACTATCCCCCACCTGGAGGACACTCTACTATCCCCCACCTGGACACTCTACTATCCCCCACCTGGAGGACACTCTACTATCCCCCACCTGGAGGACACTCTGGACTATATCCCCCACCTGGAGGACACTCTACTATCCCCCACCTGGAGGACACTCTACTATCCCCCACCTGGAGGACACTCTACTATCCCCCACCTGGAGGACACTCTACTATCCCCCACCTGGAGGACACTCTACTATCCCCCACCTGGAGGACACTCTACTATCCCCCACCTGGAGGACACTCTACTATCCCCCACCTGGAGGACACTCCCTGGAGGACACTCTACTATCCCCCACCTGGAGGACACTCTACTATCCCCCACCTGGAGGACACTCTACTATCCCCCACCTGGAGGACACTCTACTATCCCCCACCTGGAGGACACTCTACTATCCCCCACCTGGAGGACACTCTACTATCCCCCACCTGGAGGACACTCTACTATCCCCCACCTGGAGGACACTCTACCCCCACCTGGAGGACACTCCTATCCCCCACCTGGAGGACACTCTACTATCCCCCACCTGGAGGACACTCTACTATCCCCCACCTGGAGGACACTCTACTATCCCCCACCTGGAGGACACTCAACTATCCCCCACCTGGAGGACACTCTACTATCCCCCACCTGGAGGACACTCTACTATCCCCCACCTGGAGGACACTCTACTATCCCCCACCTGGAGGACACTCTACTATCCCCCACCTGGACCTGGAGGACACTCTACTATCCCCCACCTGGAGGACACTCTACTATCCCCCACCTGGAGGACACTCTACTATCCCCCACCTGGAGGACACTCTACTATCCCCCACCTGGAGGACACTCTACTATCCCCCACCTGGAGGACACTCTACTATCCCCCACCTGGAGGACACTCTACTATCCCCCACCTGGAGGACACTCTACTATCCCCCACCTGGAGGACACTCTACTATCCCCCACCTGGAGGACACTCTACTATCCCCCACCTGGAGGACACTCTACTATCCCCCCACCTGGAGGACACTCTACTATCCCCCACCTGGAGGACACTCTACTATCCCCCACCTGGAGGACACTCTACTATCCCCCACCTGGAGGACACTCTACTATCCCCCACCTGGAGGACACTCTACTATCCCCCACCTGGAGGACACTCTACTATCCCCCACCTGGAGGACACTCTACTATCCCCCACCTGGAGGACACTCTACTATCCCCCACCTGGAGGACACTCTACTATCCCCCACCTGGAGGACACTCTACTATCCCCCACCTGGAGGACACTCTACTATCCCCCACCTGGAGGACACTCTCCCACCACCTGGAGGACACTCACCCCCACCTGGAGGACACTCTACTATCCCCCACCTGGAGGACACTCTACTATCCCCCACCTGGAGGACACTCTACTATCCCCCACCTGGAGGACACTCTACTATCCCCCACCTGGAGGACACTCTACTATCCCCCACCTGGAGGACACTCTACTATCCCCCACCTGGAGGACACACTATCCCCCACCTGGAGGACACTCTACTATCCCCCAGGACACTGGAGGACACTCTACTATCCCCCACCTGGAGGACACTCTACTATCCCCCACCTGGAGGACACTCTACTATCCCCCACCTGGAGGACACTCTACTATCCCCCACCTGGAGGACACTCTATCCCCCACCTGGAGGACACTCCCCCACCACCTGGAGGACACTCTACTATCCCCCACCTGGAGGACACTCTACTATCCCCCACCTGGAGGACACTCTACTATCCCCCACCTGGAGGACACTCTACTATCCCCCACCTGGAGGACACTCCCCCACCTGGAGGACACTCTACTATCCCCCACCTGGAGGACACTCTACTATCCCCCACCTGGAGGACACTCTACTATCCCCCACCTGGAGGACACTCTACTATCCCCCACCTGGAGGACACTCTACTATCCCCCACCTGGACCTGGAGGACACTCTACTATCCCCCACCTGGAGGACACTCTACTACTATCCCCCACCTGGAGGACACTCTACTATCCCCCACCTGGAGGACACTCTACTATCCCCCACCTGGAGGACACTCTACTATCCCCCACCTGGAGGACACTCAACTATCCCCCACCTGGAGGACACT